CAGCTTTGTTTGTCATAGCCAGAACCTGGAAACAACCTAAATGCCCCTCGACCAAAGAATGGATAAGGAAAATGTGGTACATTTACACAATGGAGTACTACACAGCAGAAAAAACCTAGACACAGAAAGACAACTATCACATGTACTCATTCATAGGTGGGTTTTAAACATAAAACATAGAAAACAAGCCTACAAACCATAATCCTATAGAACTTAGACAACAATGCAGACACTAAGAGAGACTTACATAGATCTAATCTACATGGAAAGTAGAAATTGTAAAAGACAAGATCTCCTGAGTAAATTGGGAGTATGGGGACCCTGGGAAAGGGTTGAAGAGGGGAGGAAAGAGGGAGGAAGAAGAGCAAAGAAAACTCAGTAAACATCAATAAAAAAAGGAAAAAAAATTAGAATTATGATCAAGTCCTGACTGGAGTATCCTGTGAGGCTTGATCATCTCAGGCAGCATCTTGAATCTGTTCTGCATGTAGAACTCAAACATCTGGGCCATGTGTTCCTACTGGAGATTTCTCAGATGGTCTTCCTTGATCAAACCTGATTTTTTTTTATTAACTGAGAATAATTTCATACCCTCTCATTTTCTGTGAAAACAAAAGCAAAGCCTCTTCTCCAAAGTAACATATCTTTTGACTTCAATTTTGAAGTCAAGGTATATTCAAAATAACTATCTTGGATTAGTTCAGCATCATTTATAAACAAATATCTTTTAGCAGGTGTTGCTCCTTCCTCAGCATTCAAACAATTCAAAGAAAACATAATAACATACAAAATCCAAACTCTCTGTGTATTTTTCATTTTTATGTTGCTTTATTTTAACGTCTATTTCTTTTATTTTTAATTTTTGGCTTTTGGAGATGGTTTCTCTGTGTATGTTTGGCTATGAAATTGGCTGAAATTCACTCATGCAGTCAGCTTTCATAAACACCATTTAGTGGCAGGGCCTCTTAAAAGAGCTGCAAGGTTTTACAACTAAAGCTGCATCAGGAAGCCTCTCTTAAATGAGATGCATTTGCCTCTAGGAAACAGAGCCCACCTGAGAAAATGCTTCTATCCACAAGCTGTTCTTAACTCTATTCATTTTTGTCTAGAATTACTTCCCAAGCTCTCTCAGGCTTTATGTGGATGCAGTTGTCCACGTGGGTACCATTTGTTGACCTAGTTTTCTGTCTTCCTGGTCCCCACAACATACAGGGTTCAAGGCCAGAGTGGGCAATGTGAACCCTAGGGAGAATAAGCTAACAAACATGTCTATGTACAGTCTTCTATCTGGAATGGGAAATGGAGACAGTGAGATGACTCATCCATAAGATATTTGCACCAAATCTATGAGCTAAGATCTATCCTGGATTCCATAAAGAAGAAAGGGGAATTAACACTCAAAAGTCATCTTTCTACCTTCTGGGGAGACCATGACATGTGGGTATACACACACACACACACACACACACACACACTACAGAAATGTAAAATAAATTAAAATTTTAATTGTGAAATGGAGTATGCTCTATGTGTGGTTCCACACCACCTGCCAACTATCAATCTATTCCAGTAGTAACCTGCCTGAGTCTGGAGCATCAATGGAGGCCAAGGATGGCTATGGATGTGGCCTAAGACAAGATTAGAAATTTAAGTCAACATGAAGTTTGGTTTACAATTTTATTTTTAAGTTGAAGGCAGAGTTGTTGAGGGTGACAACATTGTTTTGAATTATCAAAAGGTTACAACCCTGACTGGAGTCTGTCCTGTCAACAAACTGGGACAGGCCTGGCTGATTCTGCATGTAGCCTCTAGTTCTGACTTCAGGAAAGGGCAAGAGCCAGGTGCTCAAGTTCAGAGTCATAGGAACTGCAGGCAGTGAAGTAGAGAAAGGAGCAGGCAGGGTGCTGAGCAGCATCTTGGACTTGCGTCACAAGCAAGATATTTTTCAATGGGCTGTTAGTGAAGTTTGGCCACTTCCAATTGTGTCCGTTTATGAAGTTCAGCAATGAAAAGCCTTGTGGTTAATATTTGGAGATTCCTCTTTCTTCTTTACTCACAGAAAGAAGTATGTGTAGTTTGTTAGGGTGTGTGGGGTGTGTATTGTGTGTAGTGTGTGTATTGTGTGTAGGGTGTGTGCGGTGTGTAGGGAGTGTGACATGTGTGGGATTTGTGGGGTGTGTAGTATATGTACATTGTGTGGGGTGTGTAGGGTGTGCAGTGTGTGTAGGGCATGTAGTGTATGTAGGGTATATACGGTATATACGTTTTGTGGGGGGTGTAGCATGTGTACTGTGTGGGGGGTGTGTAGTGTGTATAGGGTGTGTAGGGTGTATAGGGTGTGTGGGGTGTGTAGTGTGTGTAGGATGTGTAGGGTGTGTTGGGTATGTGGGGTATGTAGTGTGTGTGTAGGGTGTGTGGAGTGTGTAGTGTGTGTAGGGTGTGTAGGGTGTGTTGGGTATGTGGGGTGTGTAGTGTGCATAGAGTGTGTGGGGGTATGTAGAATGTGGGGGGTGTGGGGAGTGTGTAATGTGCTTGAGCAGGGCCAAGCTTCATTCCTGCCAATTGCATCTCATTCGATCATGAGAGATGGGTGGGGAAGAGACTGAGGGACCCTTAGGAGTGCAGCCCTAGGGGCTCAAGGATGATAGAGCTGCGGGCATTTAGGAGCCCAAAAAGGGGGAAGACCTGTCTGTCAAATGAAGCTTGGAAGGTGTAGATGTGTTTGTTAGTGATGGCATCATAGAAGACGATATCTCCACGATCATAATCCACATAGACGCCCACTTTCCTAAGACAGATTGAGAGATTCTCCTGGATACTGCAGTTGGTGATTGGCTGACATCCAGAGGACGAGATCCGCAATGCCCACAAGCAGCATGGCTCAGAGTTCTGAATCTGGGACCCCCGAGGCAAGTCGGCAACCACGCCCACTATACCAACTTTTTCAGGGTGTCCCTGTATTTTCACCTGCCACACCCCACGACCAGAGGAGAGGCCTGGGGAGCCCCTCACACAGTGAAAAGGATAGAATTGTCGAGGTTTTGCCTGCGTATTCGATGTGCCGTCGATGACATACAAGCTTGCTTTCTTTAGATCCTGAGAAAAGGTGAGGTTTGGGTCAGCTGAAGTGGAGTCCAGGGTCATAGGTTCTGTGGGAAGATAAAGAAGAGTGAAGAGGGATGGTTTCAGGCCAAGTCCTCCAGCACCCTGCTTTTGAGCTTCTCATGATGTAGCTAGAGGGAGAATTTCCCCTTCAAATTCAGAATCCATGTCCTCAGAGAAGACTTCTGCCTGTTTATTTCTGGTTTTCTGAGAAGGGGGTCTCATACAACCCAAGTAGGGCTGAAATTTTTTGTCTAGCTAAGGATGATCTTGAACTTCTCATCTTTCAAACTGCACCTCCCTAGTGCTGGAATTATAGATGTGGGATACCTTGCCCATGCTCCCTACACCCCTCTCTCCTGTATCTCTCCCTACTCTCTATCCCAGACCTCAAACTTAACCCCTGATTTTATGAGGTTCTGTTCTGTGGGTGCAGAGGGAAGCTCCCCCCCCCCAGTCCACGTGGTAGTAGATTCATTTCAGGAAGAGGTCTTGAACCAAGGTTATAACACCCTGGACAATTTAGATCTTCTAACAATGAAGATATGTCTTCTCATTTCCACATTTCCTGGTTCTTATATGGCAAACAATCGGGGCTGCTATGAGAGGTCAAGATTCTGCCTGATTTTTAAAGCTGGGGTCACCACTAGCCTGACTTTCTAAAATGGAGTTCCTGGGTCCAGGAGGGGACTCAGCTGATAAGTCATGTGCCCCCAAGCCTGAAACCTGATTTCAGTCCAGAAACCTACATGGTGGGAGACTGACTTCCCCACTCATGTTTTGACTCCCACACATAGGCACGTATGTGTATGCAGGAGTACACATGATAGAATGGAATAGAATGGGATCCCTTGATCTACCCCCACCCTCGTATTATGGCTCAGACATTGAATGGCAATTTATCAAAGCTACAGAGTCTTTGTCTTATTTAAAGGCTAGAGCATCAGTGGTTCTGGCTCTGCTAAGGTTTAGAAAGTGGGAATATTTTTGCCCCTCATTTGCTGCAATGCTAGTTCTCCTCTGCTGTGTGTGGGGTTGGGGAGATGGCGGGTGTGCAAGTGAGCATTCGAACAACTGGTCAGGGTCACTGGGGTAGGCTAGGGGCATGAACCAAGCAGATCTTACCCATTTCTGATCCCCAGACTTGGGTAAGTTGAATTACTGGGTGCAGGGGGATAGGGACAATGAACAAAGAGGAAGACATTGGTAGGAACTTCTATGGTCTTCCAGGGGCATCAGGGTCAAAGCAATTGGGGAAGAGCAGCACTGGGTGAGAATGACCACCATGTGGGCTCGTCTTCTGTTTTGTTGGAGGTGCTCATTGCCAGGCACGGTGGTGCATACACCTCTAATTCCAGCACTTGGGAAGCTGAGACAGGAGAACTACCATGAGTTCAAAGATAGTCTGGGCTACATGAGACTCTGTCTCAAAAGCAAGCAAGCAAAACGCAAAAAAAAAAAAAAAAAAAAAAAAAAAAAAAAAAAAAAAAAAAAAAAAAAAAAAAAAA